GCACCATTTCAGTGATTCTAGTATTGTTTTTATTGATATTGTCTCTTTATAATATAGCCTTTTATTTAACCTTCAGTGATTCTAGTATTGTTTTTATTGATATTGTCTCTTTATAATATAACCTCTTATTTAATCTTCAGTGATTCTAGTATTGTTTTTATTGATATTGTCTCTTTATAATATAGCCTCTTATTTAACCTTCAGTGATTCTAGTATTGTTTTTATTGATATTGTCTCTCTACAAGCGTATCTCTAATGCAGTACTCAGTAATTTCAGTGTTTAATATGAGTAAAAACGTAAGATTTGTGTCTTAAAAAGACTTTTTTTTCATCGTTATTTCAGAGTTTTCTCAGGTGACTTTTCAGTGTTCATCCAATGCCAGTGTTCTTGTTTTTATGTCGATATTGTTTCTGTATAGAAGAGCTTGCAAGTGACTGTACTTTAAAAAAAAATCACGTAGTGTTGTCTCTATATAAGATAATCCATGTGTTAATTGAGCTTTTACTATGGGTTCTGTATAGGGAAACTTATAAGTAACCTGCGGTTTTAAAACTCAAAGAATCTAGTTTATTGATATATATATATCAAGAACCTTTATATGATGATATGATGTGAGTTCTTAAAACACAAATAATATGATTTCTATGTGAATAGAGCGGAGTATGTGTATGACTTGAGGGGTAAAAACATAAATCATATAGTTTCTACATATAGCAACAAACAAGGTGTTTAAAACCCAAAGACGAAAATTTCTACATGCAGGAGGACTTGCGAGTGCTCGAGTTCTTAAAGTACAAAGAATATAGCAGAACCTGCAAGTGACCAACCTGCTTAAAACATAAAAAAACAATCCCTACGTACAGCAGGAATTTCAAATGATTTGATTCCTTAAAACTCCAGGAGTATGGCAGAACCTGAAAGTGACCAGACTGCTTAAAACATAAAAAACAGTCCCTACGTACAGCAGGAATTTCAAATGATTTGATTCCTTAAAACTTCAGGAGTATGGCAGAACCTGAAAGTGACCAGACTGCTTAAAACATAAAAAAACATCCCTACGTACAGCAGGAATTTCAAATGATTTGATTCCTTAAAACTCAAGGAGTATGGCAGAACCTGAAAGTGACCAGACTGCTTAAAACATAAAAAACAATCCCTACGTACAGCAGGAATTTCAAATGATTTGATTCCTTAAAACTTCAGGAGCATAGTGACCAGACTGCTTAAAACACAAATATAATAGATTTTACATACAACATGGTCTGCAAGTGGTTTGAGTTTTTAAAGCACAAAGATTATAGAAGGATCTGGAAGCGCCAATAGTCTCTATATAAAGCAAGACCTGGAAGTAACGTGATTTCTTAAAATCCATAAAATGTTACGGATATAAATTAACAGCTATACGTGAATAAAATTTTTACCAAATAAGAAACAGGTCTCATATGTAGCGAAGCTAATTTTTTTCTTCGAAATTCTGTCATCTTCCAATATGATAAAACCACATTAATACAGCATTGATTTGTTTTTTGACTAACGATCCGGTCGGTTGATCTATCTATGGTAGCAAATCATTATGCCGATCGTACAATAGAAGCCAAGCATAATAAAATTCCCCTCTGACTTTCAATAGGAATCAAGGTTTGTGTTCGGAATGCTTAAACTGTCGTTTTTAAATTACGAAATAGCGAATGACAGACAGTGTTTTGTTTTCTTTTTAGGACTCCTTCGGGTTTCCAGGCTTGGAAACGTTGACCTCTTGCCCAAAGAAACTGATGAAAACATCGAATGTCAGCAGTCTCAGGGGAACAGTGATTTCTTGTGCTTTAAAGCAGGTACATCTACGCAATAAAGTAGCTTGAGTCTGTATGTCTGTTTGTTTTTCTGTGAAGAACAATTTTCAACTTCCCCACCTAGGAACACCGAAAAAAACGTTCAGGGGTTGTCGGGTATGCTCCAGAGAGACTATAAAACCTTTAACATTATTAATTGTCTCATTTTACGAATATTAACAGATATTTCAATTTTCCCTTTGCTATTTATTGTCTTAGTGCCGGCGAATACGTACACTCACGCCATCCCGCCATCTCCTAAATCTAATGAAATATTTAATAAATATTTTATCTTGCCCCCCAGTGGCACAGCAGTATGTCTGCGGAGTTACAACGCTAGAAACCGGGTTTCGATACCTGTGGTGGGCAGAGCACAGATATCCCTTTGTGTAGCTTTGTGCTTAATTACAAACAAACTATATCTAATTCATGAAATGATACGCCCTCTATTAACTCAATTAAAAAACTACAATAGTGTCGAAATGTTTGTAGTGTCTGGGTTCAGCTCTGGACAGATAAATGCACATTATAATAAATATTAGTTCCATCAAGATGAGGGTATAGAAAACAAATCCATCCGTTATCTAAAATCCTGAGATGCTAATAGAAAGGTTTGTGATGTGACTTCTGATATATATTACTTTGAGTAGATTTACAAACGTTATTCCATAAATGTAATTTATATTTTATTTTGGCATGAAAGATATTATATAGCGATTTTCCGTGAGAATACGACGATAAACAAAATTCAAACTTTAATTCTGTAAAAACATACGCTATGATATCCAACGTTGTTTACTAATGAAATGTAGTTATCACGCTTAAAATTATAAGGGTTCAAACGGTGCAGTTACTTTAAATTTGAAACTTCTCTTAACAAATTGCTTACGTAATAGCGCTATATGAGTCCTACGCTATTTATTTGCTTTGCTCTTCCAAGCAGCACTGATAAGCCGTGAATCCGGCGAAACTAGTCTGTTGCAGCGTGAATAGCGAATTACAAGCAGCACTGATAAGCCGTGAATCCGGCGTTAAACGTTATATATCCTAATGATTTCCATTTTAACAGTTAAACTTTTGACAACCAGCTGGATCCTTATTGGAGTTTCCTTTTTACTTTGTCAGAACATTATACTCAACCGAAGCGAAAGTCGTGGCCTCACCGTGAATCCGAGGGTGCATGGTTCACGTCCCGTTGCCAAAAAAAAACGTCCTCCGTTCTTATGGCATGGGTGCACTATGAATTTGTTTATTTGAGAGCAAAGCCACATAGGGCTATCCGCTTTGCTACTGCGGAATATCTAACCCATGATTTTAACCCGTAAATCTACCGCTGTTCCAGTGGGGGGGGGGGTGCTATGAAAGTGACGGTCTCGGATATTTATGTTCGGTGAGACTAAAGTAGCGTAAGATGTTGACTAGCTGCTTAGCATATCACTTGAAAGATAAATAGGCCTTGTGTACTTCTGCGAACATCTTAGAAAAAATCAAAAGGCTAATCTAACTTATTACTTGATTAATTTATTTTCTTCGCCAAAATGTAAATTTCAGTGAAGAAAGGGTGATGTAGAAGCCTAATCTATGCTTCGCTCGCTACTCACGTTTCAATAGACTAGTTTCGCCGGATTCACGGCTTATCAGAGCTGCTTGTGATTCGCTACTCATGTTGCAATAGACTAATTTCGCCGGATTCACGGCTTATCAGTGCTGCTTGTGATTCGCTACTCACGCTGCAACAGACTAGTTTCGCCGGATTCACGGCTTATCAGTGCTGCTTGTGATTCGCTACTCACACTGCAACAGACTAGAGTCGGCCCGGCATGGCCAGGTGGTTAGGGCGCTCGACTCGCAATCTGCAGGTCGCGGGTTCGAATCCCCGTCACAACAAACATGCTCGCCCTTTCAGCCGTGGGGGCGTTATAATGTGACGGTCAATCCCACTATTCGTTGGTAAAAGAGTAGCCCAAGAGTTGGCGGTGGGTGGTGATGACTAGCTGCCTTCCCTCTAGTCTTACACTAAAATACTAACAATTAAGCAGATGGATCACGTCAGTTCTAAACTGGTTTTGTTAAAATGTGTGTGTGTGTGTGAGAGAGAGAGATAGTCAAACGTAGCTGATTTAAAAATATTCAAAAAGCAAAGAAAAATTGTATATAATTGAAAACTGTTTAACTAAAAACGATTAAAACAATGCTGACAGAGTGATTGTGCTCGTGCAGGTGATGAACGTGCTAACGAGCAAATAGATTTAGCTCTTCTCCATACCATCTGGATGAGGGAGCACAACAGAGTAGCCAGAGTTCTAGCCTACTACAACCCTGGCTGGAATGATGAGATTCTCTACCAAGAAGGTCGCCGTATAGTCGGAGCTGAGATGCAACATATTGTCTTCAACGAATTCTTACCGCTTCTGTTAGGTAAGGGGCAGCTTTTAAAGATATATATCAGTATCTCAAAGAAATCAGGAACAGCAGTTATTATCGATGATCAGTTAGATTTAACCTGAACAAACTGATCTGAAAATTTAGATTGGAAGAGGTAAATCATCTTATAAATAGTAAATATGATGTCCTTTTTCACCACACCGAGTCCAAGATGAAAACACAGACGAATTTTGTTTCGTTTCAAATGTTGAGATTTATACAAAACAAACTCCGTGTCTAAAACTGTAGTTTAAACAATTGTAGTTCTAAAACACACATCTGGAAAGTTACTTGTAAAATGTGAGCATGAAGATAAGAACACGTGTTTTTATGTTTAGATGTGTTTCAGGACCTGTACCTGCTCCTAAGTTTTTCGTTTTTTCTTTTACTCCAATTTTTTGTTCTAATAACAACTGACGCTTGATAGGCAATGTATTCTCACCGCTGTTTCCTACTTCAACAGATACCTCTCTTAATAGGGTTATATTTTACAATTCCTAAATATTAATTTGTATCCTACATTCTTGTTTTTGGCCTAGTTTTGGATGTTGTTTTGGGCCTAGTTTTGGATAAATAATTTTAAAATACCATCCAAAATGTTGTTATGTTACGCTTTCTTTCTTTTAATTACTGTGTAAACTTGAAAAACCACCTCTCTCTCTTTATATATATATATATATATAACCAATTTATGATATGCAAATGATACTAATCTTTATACATTTCAGGTAAAGGTGTAATGAGTAAAT